GGGGCATGAGGGGAATGGAGGGGGGGGAGGTCGTGTGAGTGGGGGGAACCCCAAAACAGGCACCCGGCACCCTGAAATGGGCACCTGGTGTCCCGAAACGGGGACTCGGCACCCCTGAGGTTGGCACCCAGTGTCCCTAAATGGGCACCCAGTGTCCTGAAACCAGCACCTGGCACCCAGAACTGGGACTCAGCACCCTCGAGGTTGGCACCCAGTGTCCCAAAACTGGCACCCAGTGTCCTGAAACCAGCACCTGGCACCCCGAACTGGGACCCGGCACCCCGAGATTGGCACCTAGTGCCCTAAAACTGGCACCCAGTGCCCTAAAACTGACACCCAGTGTCCTGAAACCAGCACCTGGCACCCCGAACTGGGACCCATAACCCCGAGATTGGCACGTGGTGCCCCAAAACTGACAGCCAGTGTCCTGAAATTGGCAGCCAGTGTCCCAAAACTGTAACCCAGCACCCCTAAACAGTCACCCAATGCCCTGAAACAGGCACCTGGCACCACAAACTGGGCACCCAGAACCCCGAAATGGGCACTTGGCACCCTGAAGTGGGCACTCAGCACCCCAGGGCTGGCAGGCAGCACCCACAAACAGGCACCCAGCAGCTGGTAACCCTTAAACTGGCACCCAGCCCCCCCCAAACCTGTGCACCTTGTACCCAAAACCTCCCACTTGGCACTCAAACCCCCTCACACCCAGAACTTTCCACCCGGGCCCCCAGAACCTCCCGCCCCAGCACCCAAAAGCCTCACTCCTTGCACCCAAAACCTCACTCCTCGCACCCAAAGACCTCACTCCTTGCCCCCAAAACCTCACTCCTTGCACCCAACATTTCACTCCTTGAACCCAAAACCCTCAGTCCTTGCACCCAAAACCTCACTCCTTGCACCCAAAACCTCACTCCTTGCCCCCAAAACCTCACTTCTTGCACCCAAAACCCTCAGTTCTCGCACCCAAAACCTCCCTCCTTGCACCCAGAACCTCCCTCCTTGCCCCCAAAACCTCACTCCTTGCACCCAGCCCCGAGGCCCCACCTCTTGTCAGAGGGGTAGAGCTCCACGGTGAGCACGTCGAGGGCGTTCCAGGAGGCGATGCTGACCCCCCCGAAGAGGCAGAGCAGGGCGATCATGGCCGACTCGCTGTTCCCAAAGGACAGGAAGAAGCAGCTGACGCAGGACATGACGCTGGAGCCGGCTGGGGGGACACGGGGACACGTCAGGACAGTGGGGACACTGAGGCAGGGGGTGGGAGGGTCGCCAAGGGGGGAGGGAGGGTGGGGGTGGCACAGCCAGGAGGGGGAATGGAGGCAGGATGATCGACCAAGGTAGGAGGGCAAGAAGGTTCCCAAGGGGTGATGGAGGTGGGGGATGATCCACCAGGATTGTCCCCAAAGGGTGATGGAGGTGGGGGACGATCCACCCCGATTGTCCCCAGGGGGTGATGGAGGTGGGGGACGAGCCAACAGGAGGGACAGGGCTTAGGAAGGTCCCCGGGAGATCAACGGAGATGGGGGTGACCCAGTAGGTGGGAGGGGGATCAGGAACATCCCCAGTGGGGTGATGGAGATGGGGTGACCCACTGGGGTGGTCCCCAAATGGGGATGCAGGTGGGGTGACCCGGTAGGTGGGAGGGGGATCAGGAACATCCCCAGTGGGGTGATGGAGATGGGGTGACCCACCGGGGTGGTCCCCAAGTGGGGATGCAGGTGGGGTGACCTGGCAGGTGGGGTGGGGGCTCAGGAAGGTCGAGAGCCAGTTTAGGCTGGAAGGCACCTCAAGGACCCTCAAGAGCACCTCCCACAGACCAGGCTGCCCCATCCAGCTCGACCCTGGCTGTCTCAGGGAGGGGTCACCCCCCAGACCCCCTCCCATGGGGTGCCCCTCCCTGCCCACCCAGCATGCGCAGGCGGCCGATCTTGTCCATGAGCAGGGCCGAGACGATGTTCCCGGGCAGCACGGCCAGGGTGCCCAGGAAGCTGACGAAGTAGATCATGTAGGCGTTGTTGTCGTCGCTGAAGTCCAGCTGGCAGCCCTCCTTGTTGTGCAGGAACGTGCTGTTCACCACCCGGCTGTTGATGAACTTGTACTCAAAGAGATCTGGGGGGGAGAGGGGGACATGGGGTCGCTCCGTCTGCACGGCCCCCTTGGGCACCTTCCTGATCCCCTCCCGCCTGGTGGGTCACTCACACCTCCATCACCCCCTTGGGGACCACCCTGGTGGGTCACATTATCTCCATCATGCCCTGGGGACCATTCTGAACCCCCCTCCCACCTGCTGGGTCACCCCGTCTCTGTCACCCCTTGGGGGATCTCATGGGTCACCCCAACTCCACCATCCCCTTGGGGACCTCCCTGACCCCCCTCTCCAACCTGGTGGGTCCCCCCCATCTCCATCAGCCTCCTGGGGACCCTCCTGGGGGGGGTCACCCCCCCTCCACCCCCACGTGCCCCCCACCTGTGTTGTAGAAGACGGTGGAGATGAAGGTGCAGTTCTTGAAGAAGGTGTTGCTGGAGGTGATGTCCTCGAAGTAACACTCCTCGAAGAGCGAGTCCTCGAACGTCACCGACTTCATCTTCAGCCCGATGAACCTGCGCGGCGGGACGGGAGGGAGACCCCGCCGCTGCCCCCCTGCCCCCACACCCCAAGCTCAGCCCCCCCAGGCTCAGCCCCCCCAGCCTCCACTCACTTGTCGTTGAAATACTCGCCGCCACGGTGCACCTGGTTCTCCAGGGTGAAGTTGAAGGTGAAGTGTCGAACCTTCTCGCGCGTGAAGAGCTTGGTGCGTGAGGCGTACTCGATGCTCTGCAGGTGCTTGATCATGTCGGGGAACCACACCGTGAGCCCGTAGTAGCTGCGGGGACAGGGGTGAGCGGGCACTGCCAGCCCAGGGCTCCCAGTGCCGGCCCAGGGCTCCCAGTGCCAGCCTGTGCCATCCCAGTGCCA